GTGAAACTTCTCACTACTACTAACGGTGGTAGAGAACTCTATTGGAGATCGCTCTCTAATAGCGAATTCGTTTATTATCGGGGTTAACACCAGTTCCAACCCAGTGCGAAACCGAACTTTTTGTCAGTGTGAACCTCAACCTGAGCTAGGTTTTAAAAACAAACGAGCAAACTGACGTTTGTCAGAAAACAAGCAGACCCAATCTTGATACCCGATCCAGGTTGGAACTGAATAATAAACGAATTCGCTATAAGAGAGGAGCGGATTTAAAACAAACTGCCTTGCCAACCTATGTCTAGATGGTTTCTTGCAACACTGCCAATGCAATCACGATAGGCACTGCTCGATTAGCTCTGGCTTTGACAGTTCGTTTGACTCAAAATCAGCCAGTCAGCTCTTCTCTAATACTAGACCCTCTCTAGTCTCAAATTGGCAGAAAAAGATACAAGCAAGCATCGAAATTTGTATTACAGGGTAGTTTGTTTTACTGTTGACCGTGTTGCTAGAAATGTGCAATATTTTCAAACATAGCTTTTGGAAACGACGGTTTGCATAAAGGAACGACAAGTTAATTATTGCTTCTCCTGTTGCTTCAGACGTGGTTTCCAAAGTATTTTCATCCAACAGTTTCTAATCAAATACATTATTCTCCAGCGTGTTCAAAATGTTCAATAGCCCATTCCGTTAACAAATATAAAAGTTATCGATCGAACTAAACTTTTGCTGCTTCGAAGTGCATTGAAGGCGAACACATTTATGGAAAATTACGAGGAAAATTACTGTAAATACACGCATTTTTGCGTTGGGTTTGCAATCGTTGCTTAGGCGAACGGAGCCCAGTGAAGCAGCATCAATCTCAAGAAAAACAGTCCATGAAACAAGAAACAAGAGATAGGATGAGGAACCTGACCAGGATGACACGTTGGAGGACACCAGCACTGGTAATGAAGAGGAAAATTTCGCTCTTCCAATTATTTATTTTCGCAGATAAACACAATTTTCCAACTGCGCATTTGTTGAAGAAATGTGAGGACGAGTATATATTTTTTTCTTATGATTATTTGTTGATCACAAGTTATGCATAAAACATATTTTGTTTCATGGCAACACTGCAAGCCACTCCGTAGCACCAAAGCGTCAAATTACAACAGGGATGCTACTTTTGAGATGACACGTCACGTCCGAGGTTATCTGCTCGAGTAGAATGGCTTTTTCCAAGCCCTACCCAGTTTAAACCTAGGGGAGACAACTGGGGAGTACATATTGATCCAGTGATTGATCCAGTCGTTGATTGGTTGTTTTTAAGTTTACGATTAGTTGTTTTTAAATGTGTACAACAGGGACTGTTAAGTGGACCCTACACGATTGCTTTTATTGACAATAATCGTATTGTCAATACATTCTATATTGACGTCAATACATCGATATTGACAATATTTCTGTATTCACACCATCAATATTGTTGTCAATAATTCCCCTTCACGTCAATATATTGATACGTGTGGGGTTCGCTTTAGAGCGAATGAGGAACCTGCGAAGAACGACAAAAAGAAGACAGTTTTTCTGTCGTTATGATTTCCGGTGAAATAGATGGGATCTTGATATGTACATGGATTCACTGACAACATGTTTTCATTAATTGTACGAAACATTTGTATTGTATGTCTTCAGGTACAATGCTAAAATTACGCATAATTTGTACAATACATGAACTGAATTTTGTACGGACGAGACGACGTAAAAGCAAACCTCGGTGTTGACTTTCACACAGTCACTCACAAACGCTTCTTATCAAGGTTATTTGAAAATTTGTGAAGGTACAAAGGACCAACAATTTCAAACTAGCTGCTAATGTATTTTCAAACTTCATTCAAAGCGTTTTCGAAACGTTCCATTGTATAACGTACATCTTTCCTTCACTCGATTTCTGAGGAAGCGCTGAAAGCTTTAGTGAAGCTCGAAGAGTCGAAAAGAGCTGGAATCGATGATTTGATACCGTTTCTATAGTATACTGATTAAAATGTATTGCATCCTAAGCTATTCCATTGAAACAGCTATTCAACCGATCGGTAGAAGGAAAGACGTGGCAAATTGCTTCAATGGAACCCATCCATGAATCTGGAAGTTCGTTACTCTGCTGTCTTGGAATGCTCCTAGAAACCTTAGTGTACAAAAGTCTTACTATCCACAGCAGGTTTGTTCCTCGTCGTTTAATACAAATCAACCTGGTGTGTTATGCCAACACTTTGTTGCGATTAAATGTCGGAATAAGGTCGAGTCTATTTACATCGCCTTTACAAAGGCATTTAGGATACCGTTCCACGAGCCTACACCGTTAGATATTAAAGCAAATGGGTTTCCCAGATTGGATAACGAGCTGTTTGAAGGCAGGAAAGCGTTTGTTCAAGTCAACTCTGCCCCATCCAGGACCTTCATAATATCATCTTAAATTCCACAGGGGAGTGTGTTAGGCCCTCTGACTTTTCATTAATGAGCTGCCTGCGAATGTCATCCGTGAAGTTAGATTACCCACAGATTTTCAGGAATATCAAGTCCGTCTTGGATTGCGGGGCTCTGCAAATGGACATCGACGTCCTTCTACAATGTGCACTGAGATTGAGAATGACATTACTGTGAACATCAACAAATGTCAAGTCATCACGGTATGTTTTCAGAATGATACCTGACCAAGCTTATATAACGAGAGCATATTTGAAGGTTGGAATGTCTTCAGAGTAATTCCTAATCAATCTTATACTTTGAGAGAATACCTGCTGGTCTGATCACAGACGAACAGACACACCTTTTAGAAGAGAATTCTTCAAAAATATCGTCAAACGTATTTTGCATGCTCAATAGCACCGTCTGCCATGGACATTCCCAAGCATTGATTTGCAACCGGAGAGTTATATCTGATTGTTTGTGGTATGATAATCTTCAAAATAATTTCTGATCAATTCGGTACGATTAAAGAATATCTGAAAGACTTCGTATGCATTTTTGATCAATTGAAGGTTTCCCAGGATTCCCAGAGAATATCATCTCTCGTGGACTTCAAAATAAATGTGTATAATTCTGATACAATCAGAATATTTAAAAAAATTTGTTTGAATTATTGATAAGTTAAATATTTCCAGGAAGAGGATGCCTGAGGTTTTTTTTGAATAATTCCTTACCAACGTAGGGAAGGCCATCAGAATAACTGCTGATCATTTTGATTTGATCAAAGGATATTTGAAGGACTTCACTTGATTTTTTGATCAGCCGAGGGTCTGTAGAATGATTTCTGACCATTCTGGTGGAATTGGAAAATATCTAAAAGACTTATTAATCTCACATGAGATTCTGGGCTCCATAAAGATGTAAGGGCTCATTGATTCAGTCATAGAATGTGCAGGATGATTTGAAGAATTCAATATGTTTTGTTATCATACCTTTAAATCTCACATGATGTCATGAGGTCCCACGAAACTCTTCGGATGATTTGGAAATGCCATGTAAATGCTGTTTTGTATTTCATATGATATACTCTGCAAGCGTTTTTGAATACACATCTAAAATATCCTATACATCTCTGTTGAACCGAAAAATATTAAGATCAAAACTCTAAAATAATTAGAGCATCCTAGATCGTCACGATAAGGAAATAATTTTTTCCTTAACATACATTCTACATTTCTGTACTTCTTTAGCCGAATACTGACAAAAAATTTCTCAAAATAAGAACAAGGAAAAATTGGGACTGAAACAACTAATTCGATATTCTGCCAACACTGATGATACGGAAGTTCTGTCGAGTTTTCTGCCAACACTGATGACACGTAAATCATGTTTAGCCGTGTCGTGAGTCGTGAATTTTAATCCAATAATAGTTGTTGTTTATGTTTTTATCGCTTCTACAACAAATGTGAACCTCGATTCTTCTTTCACTGGCACTAGAGTCGGTGTATAATGAGTCACGCCAAGAGAAAAACAGTTGAACTCGCATCACGGTTTTCGAAAGATTCCCTTTCTTTTAACTTGGCAACAGAGGACTTCTGCATCAACTTCAAATGACTTCTAGCGAGGAAAAAAAATAAACGGCTGTAGTTAATCATTATATCAGTGATTTTGTCGAATTATCTTAAAGAAAAATAGTAGAAATTGTCATTACTGATCATTACAAAACGTATCGTATGACAAATGTAATGCTCACTGCGTGTATATGATCATTTCTTCGATTATATTTTATATTTAATTGCAATACCTTTCGTGGACCTTTCATAGCATCGTAATGCTTGTTTACTTTGCACGATAGGTAGCCGGTTTGACAGTTCAATAGGTAGACTTGGCTTCACTCTTGGCGTGACTCATTATACACCGACTCTAACTGGCACAAGGAAAGCAGAATATATGATTCGGTACAAGAGTGTAGCGCAATTTCCAACAACAATAAGATTTTCCTAGATTCACAGCGTCCAAAACTCAATCCCATGGATTTAGTACACAACACTCAAAAACATGCAACCGTTTATAGTCTTACTAGTACATTTCTATTGTTTCTAGGAAAACACGTACACGGTTCATTAGGTAAGCTGATCCAATTCACCCCTGACCTGGTTTTTGACGCTCGAGTGTTTTAACAGTGAACAGGAAAAGTTGTAATTCAACCAACTTTCCAGTGATGGTTCAATTCGCAGTTCGAATGAGTCCAACACCAAATTGAATCGTCCAAACTGGGACATATGGTTCAATACGATGCGTATTTTCAAGCATTGAAAGTGCGTCTTAACAGCTGATAGCTAAGGAGCTTCTACCACGGTTCTTTGACAAACCGAGCTGATAGAACCAGTTTCACCTCCGCAGTGAAATGCGTTAGGTAGCAATCGTAGTCAAGATTTGGTAAAGATTCTTCTATATTCAGCGAAAATTAAATTTGCTGCAAGGGACATCACTTTCTTTCCATCACTATAAGGGTAAGCGTGTTAGTAAATTGGACAGTTAAAATAAAACCCTTCGTCAATGATGGACATACTTCAACAACAGCTGTGTTTCTCACTAGTTTTTAGAAGGTAACATTTGATGACTTCTACACATGTCCTCTATGATATTTCCTAAAATTTCATAACTAATCACTCTAGGATGGTATTTGGAAAAATGTGATAAATCTCGCCTATCTAGTTTCTTTCGGTAGTGTGTGTGTTTGTGTGTTCATGTGTATCTGTGTGTGTACGCTCCCTAGCTTTCCCTAGTGACTTACATTTACATTTTGTTTTAGGAACTAATCACTGTTAAATCACAACTAAGCAGGGATCGAAACATGCTGCAACATCTGGGTATCTGCTCTATTTCCTTTCTCTTTATGGTTCATTTCTCACTCTTTCATCTCCAAACGCGGAATGGTGTGGGAAGCAAAGTTTTTCTTCTCTGACATATGAACTTTTACTTAACGCGCCTACTGCTGATGTTGGTTTAGTAGGCGGTGACGTAACGGATGCTTTCGGAGGATTTAACGCTGGTAGTATGGCCGTTCTGAATGACTCATACTGCTCATACGCTAGGCCCCCTCAAGCCGTTATCCCTTTTATATACTAGATTGCGCAACATATACCGGATTGGAACTGATAGATAGAAGCTAGTAGCTTTGTTTTTTTTAAATACATTATCCTATGTAGATAGAAAACCAAGTAAAACTCGAAAACATGAATTGCAACAAACACTCAACGGAGCGAAACACGTTGCCGGTTTGCTCCTAACGATTTTTGGAAAACAATTTGACAAACTTACGAAACATATGTTTGATATATTGCGCGATCTGGTATATAAAATCGGTTTCTTTTGTTCATATGTAGGAATAGGGACCATCGGTCAAGGCGCTACACAGCAATAGTCAGGAGTTGTCGTCCTTGTTGGAACCACCGCCGCCGACGCCGGTCTGTTGACTGTTCTGGTTGCGACCTCCGGCCGGACCACGGACCGTGGCCGGTTTGTACTCCAGACCCGGATCGAATTGCATCAGCACGAAGACCTGGATGACAGTTGAGAATTGAGTTGCGAAAGATCGCCTAATATACCTCTGAGCTTACCTGATCCGTTGGCAGCAGCGAAAAGTCGTCCGGCGGATTGGTGATTACGTATCGCTTACTGCTCGCATCGCAACTCGAACTGGTATCCCTGAATCGATACAAACCGATGCACAGCATTCCGTAGGACTTGAGCGCTGCTACAAACAAATCTCCGTACTTGCCGGCTTCACCGAATTGTGCCAGCGGGCCGTCGTACAGGGAAATCTGACCGACGCGACATCTACAAAGAGAGTTCATTGGATTACCTAGAGGATCCTATCGATGCGAATCGATATTTACCTATCTCGATTGCTGAGACTCTCGGGCGTGCTGTAGCCACCTCTTAGGCCAGCACCTTCTGCCAGAATCAGTTCCAGCTCCGGTGTCGCTCCTCCCGTAATTAGCGAACGTATCAGTGTTAAGGCGTTTTGATTGAAGTATGTCTGTAATGGGCACAATTTGTACTTCTGATTCGTAACATAACCGCAATTCGAAACTTACCGTTGACATGAGAGAATCGAGCACACTCACGGCGAATGCTGTACCGCATGCGAACGGTTGCGTTAGATACAGCTCAGTGTCCGGATCGTCATCGTCGTCCTGATCCAGAAACTGCACATTGCTATCGTTGACTAATTCTGAAAGATCCAAAGGAAATAGTTGGTCAGAAATTTTGGAATGCTTCGCTTTGACAATGACCATACCCGTAATCATTGGCACGTTGGCACCGTAGACTGAACCGCGTCGTTGCAGCACGATTGGACTCCCTACCGGGGTGAGATTATCCTGCTCGGAGCCACGCTGGCTCAGTACTCCTATTGTGTCGTCGAACGTCATTGCTTTAATGTTGAGTGAGGCAAGGATGGCTTCCTTATCGGCTAACGTCGGATCGTCGTTGCTAGGAACTTTCGCCGATAGAATACAACACATATCACAAAGGTTTACGTTGACCGCTCGGAGGTCTGCTCTGCTCAGTGGAGATCCCTGCGGATAGTCAGAAAATTTGCATTAGTACCGCTGAATTTTGTGTCGCCGGACTCAAACTACTTACATTTAGTACGGATATTTTGGGCAGATTCTGCAGCATCTTCCATTCGCGTCGAATGTATTCAACGGAACCCACGATCACGACGTGTTTCAGCTCATGATAGTGGAAGTTTGAAGCACGTAGTGGCATCACGAGATTTCTTAATCCTATCAGCGGCGAGTCAGGGTCAGCGAACAGACACACAACGACGTGTCCATTCAGAACCGTCATGGCCGCTTGATTTCGATCCTGAAAAAAAAAGTTACCGTAACATGCTTCCATCCAAATCCAACCCCAACCGTACAACCTACCAGTATGCATTCCTCCAAGCTCTTTGCGGGACTCCAGTGGAACATACCGGTCGAGTCGTACTTCATCTCCGTCTTCTCGAAGTCGAAGTCCTTGGACTGATCGTCGGCAATCCCCGCCTGCAGCGTTACGCCGTTCTGGTTTTGTGCACCCGACCCGCTTCCTCGACTCGTGGGCCTATAAGGAGTACGTACAAAAGACTTCAGTGCTATTCCCCAAACAATCGACATGCAAATTGTGGTAAAACATGCTAAACTCAAATTCAACGGGATTCTACGAGTGGCTTATCCAGTTTGGTTGCAAACTCAAAACCCAAAAAAATATATTTTTTTCGAAAAAAGAAAACTGAGGGATGTTGGGAATTCATGACCAATATCCTACTGAATGGGGGAGAGGGGAGGTAACCAAACGTTTGGGGTTCATCAAAGTTGGAGAATCTGGCGGTGATGAATCTAAACAAAATCAAGCACTGCATAATGTGAAGCAGGTTCATCTACGACTCAAACATGGGAAACGAAGAAAGGAAGGTTGAATTGGTAAAATATTTGCTTGTTCCTACATGAGCTTTTTCACTTCGTATGCTAGCTGATAACCCGCGTAAGGACTCGGCTCGGTTTCCGGAGGCCTGCAAGGACAATGGTAATAACAGAAAGAATTGTTTAATGCTCCGATCGGTCTGGTTGTGGAGGAGTTGGGTGTATTCTTGAGCACAAACCAAAGATAAATTTTCCGAAAATCATTTCAGCGCATTAACAATAGGTATATCAAACAAGATAAGTAAGAATGGAAAAAAAAAAATCTTACTGAAACCCGAATACTGGAGCTCATACGAAACATAAAGCGGAACCCGGATCAGATGATAGAGTAGTGATACTTTTGAGAATGTTTTGACGTAGGACTACGACTGTGATTTCTATATGGGGGTACACTTTGTGAAAACCGAAATTGAAACATGTAACAACATTATGAAAGATTTTGAACGTTAATAACTCAGCTGCCCTTGGACCAATTTCAATAATTTTATCACCAAAGGATCAGAAATATGTCTACGCATATTACCATTTATCAAAATTTCACTATTGAAAATTGCACGAATGTGTAACTGTTGCTATGATAATTAAAACGATCACAGATTGGAACATGTAATAAAACGATCACAGATTGGAACATGTAACAACTTTCACAGCAGTGAGCTGCAGCCTACATGTGACTGCGAAAAGCGATTTCCCTAACACAGATTTCAAAGTTGAATTCCATCCGGTCTCACCAAACGGTGTTTATTCAATCACTGCGTGGTGAGGGATGGTGTTCTTCAGTACACGCAAGCAGTGAGCTTCAGCCGACATGTGCATCCATAGAAGGAGGAAGAAGCCTCACCGCTTTTGTCAGGATCAGTAGCTTTTTGTGAGTCGCTGTGGGCCATCCATGTCAAGCACGTCATACTAAAGAGTATAAACAGGGAGAACCCCGCTCAAATTCCTATACCTACACAAAACACAAACTCCTGCTGCAGTTAATAAATAAGACCAAGTAGTCCTACGTCACTATTGCATACAATCCCATAGGGCTGTCCCTTGTAGTTTTTGATGGCTTCAATTTCCTTTTATCGAGCTCAATTTAAATTAAGATTCTTTTCTAAATGGAAATGAGCTCGTGCTGAGAGTTACGAAGTATTCGTAGGAGGACGCCTAGTCATTCTGAGTATTTGAGTTAGAGGTACAAAGATTAGCGTTTTTTTTTCTGCCATATAAATATACATTTAAATACATATACAAAAGGGAAGAGAGGGTCCAACAGAGCAACCAATTGAAGCGATTTGGATAGGGAGAGTGGGATTGCCAACTTCCTGTTACTAACATTTCGTGGACAGAGGGCGGACTCTTCTCCACACTCATGGGGTATCCTGCAGGACGAGGGCTTGTTTCATTGCGAATTATATGATCTTGGTTGCTGGAAGGAGATCCTTATCCTGTTCCCGGTGGGTTTCGTGTGGGTGTTTCTGCTGACGGGTCTACCCCTCCGTTTTTGGCCCTTCATACAGCGCCAAGCTGAATATGATTTCTCAGTGGGACTTGATCAAGTCGTCCAGATTGGATTGCCCATTGCTATGTGCAGGCGCCTTGCTACATGAGTGGTAGTCTCAATCATCAATCATCATCATCAAAGATTAGCGTTTTTTGGCCAAATTCTAGTTTGATTAAACGATGTCATTGTTCGAACCAATACTTGACTCGATATTCGAACATTTTCCAGTCAGGTGCTAACAACAGTCGGAAATTGAAAATCGAAAATATGAAAGCTACCGTGGATGCCCATTCCGGATTGAAGGCAGGAACAGACATCAAAATTATCCCTATCCCCCTGTATATCATTGGATATTATCCCTATTCCTATCCGGATAATTTTGAAACAGATCATATCTGAGTTAAAAATAGCCGGATAGTTTTTTTAAAGATCTCGATAGAAAAAAAGTGGAAAGAGATCTTCTAAATTTGAGTGGTGTTGAGTACTTGGCACTGATGAAGTCTGCAAGTAGTAGACAAAATACGCGTATCTGTCAAAAGATAAGCAATTATAACGGAATTTAAAGGAAATAAACCAACACACTCAAAGCTCTTCATACATGGAAAGGGATAATATCCTATGAAAAGGGATGTTTGATATCAAATATGTACCCACCAATATGGGTATTTTTGGAATCGGGGTGATGTCTAGAGTCCGGAAATTGATATCCGAAGTCATTTTGGAATCCACTATGGTGGCCACTGGGTTTAAAAAAGTGGCAAATATCCGGATGTTTTCGGAACGGGGAAGACGTGTGGATGCCAAAAATTGATGACCGACGCTATTTTGGAATCCAATGGCGGCCATTGGGCTCAGAAAAAGTAACAAATACCCTACAATATAAGTATATTCGGAACGGGGACGACGTGTAGATGCCGAAAATTGATGTCCAACGCCATTTTGGAATCCAATATGGTGGCCATTGGGTTCAGAAAAAGTGGCAAATACTCTACAATATGGGTATTTTCGAAACGGGATCGATCAGTAGATACCGAAAATTGATGTCCAACGCCATTTTGGAACACCATATTGGGTTCAAAAAAAGTGGCAAATACTAGACAATATGGTTATTTTCGGAACGGGAACGATCGGTAGATGCCAAAAATTGATTTTTTTTTTTCTTTGATTTGTTTTCCGTCGATCTAGTTTTCCGTGCTGAGCCCCAATGCTACCGACGCCCATCAACTCATGAACTGGGGATCAACGGCTTTACTTCCCTTATTAGAGATAGATTTCATTCTATCATAGTCATTAACTCTGTGAATATCAGAAACTTGAATAATGAGCAAAAACTCTGACCATATACATCCCAACTAACAATTTTAGCTGCAGATTAGGTTATGGACGAGTGCACCGATGAATTTAAGTTCACTCGCTTGAGAAAAAGTGACACAAACTGCGGGCAATGTTTACTAATCATGGACACTAAATGTTCATTATTCATTATTCATGAACATTTAGTGTTCATGATTAGTAAACATTGTCCGCAGCTTGTGTCACTTTTTCTCGAGTGAGTGAATTCAAATCCATCGGTGCACTCGTCGATACAGCCAGAAATTGGCTTATACAGCTGATTTTTTCCTGTATAAGCTAGTCTGCAGCTAAAATTGTTTGTTGGGATGGGCTGAGTGATTAGATGCAAAATAAAGTGTTTACTATTCACTTAGTGAACGGCATTCGTTAACTGAAATGCATTTCATGTGTCAAACCAGCTGTCAACTGTATTTAAATGCATTAATGTTCATCCTCATGTTCATTTAGCTCATCTTGACGTTTTAAATTAGGTACTGCAGCGTGACGTCATAAATGAACTCAGTGTTAGCCGGCTGAACCTTTTTAGAAATTAAAATTCTGAAATTTTAAAATATTAAAAAAAAAACTCTTAAGTGCTTGTAAACAGTACCACTGAACTGTCAAAAAGTTCATCCGATGAACATTGAGTTCATTCGTGACGTCACCTAATTTGTTCTATTAGGTTTTGCACCGTCGGGGTTAACCTCAATCTGATGACAGTTCAGTGGTACTGTTTACAAGCACATAGTCGTTTTTTCGAAAAAAATATTCTTAAATTTTCGAATTTCAACTTGAAAATTGTCGAGGAACAGCGCGTAGAAAGGATGTTGCTCATGGACATTGCAGAAGTGTGGTTTACATCTCACTGCAGTCCGAAAAATTATCGAGAAAATCCACCCAAGAAAATATCGACTAAGTCCACGTAAACAGTACCACTGAACTGTCATCAGATTGAGGTTAACCCCGACGGTGCAAAACCTAATAGAACAAATTAGGTGACGTCACGAATGAACTCAATGTTCATCGGATGAACTTTTTGACAGTTCAGTGGTACTGTTTACAAGCACTTAAGAGTTTTTTTTTTAATATTTTAAAATTTCAGAATTTTAATTTCTCACTGCTGTCTGAAAAGTTATCGAGAAAATCTACCGAAGAAAAATTTGACGAAGTCCACGTAAACAGTACCGCTGAACTGTCATCCGATTGACGTTAACTCCGACGGTGCTAAACTTTATTGTACAGATATATACTAAAGCCCTCTATTTAAAGTATGGACAACTGTCAACTGAAAAAAGCTGTTCCAATCTAGCAAAACGGTGCATTTTGACGGTTCGATTGAAACAACTTTTGAAAGACGTCCATACTTTTACTGTAGAGCTTCAATAAATACCCGTGACTGTTAGGTGTAGCAGTCATGGTAGTAGTTGCCACCCTTGCTGCGCACGCTAGTTGTAAAAAGACGTTTCAGTTCATAAACGTCCCCTTTGTTATACGATTTGCAATTGAAGAGATCAAATTTCAAGTTCAAACGACTATAATACTTACCGATTGTACGTCGATGGTGACATTAGATTATCCGGTGGTTGTCTATTTACATTAGGTTTAACTTTGTTAACTTGTTTGGTTGAATTAAGAATCTGATTGGAATCCGTCAGAGCGGTGCTTCTTCGGTTGCGATTGATTACTGATTGATGCGGCACGGTTTGGGAATAGAACGAAAAATAGAGAAGAGAAAAGAAAAGTTAATATTTCAAGCATAATAATCCTATTTTTCCGAAACAACACCGCGGAGAAAGAGTGACGTTACAGATGATCGGATAACGTATAATACATATAATGGAGGTTTAAGAAGAGAAACTGCGAGAAACGTGTGTGTTGGCAAAACGGAAACGGATTTGCTGTTCTGGTGGTGAACACAGCAAAGGTGCTGGAAGAAGCATTTAATCTGGACGCTACCAAATGCTCGATATGGCAGCGTGTCGGCAAATTAAGAGAGAAAAATAATACTCATGATCAGTAGGTTTACAGATTCGATACGAAGCGCAAAAATAGTGTGTAAACTTATTCGATTAAGATGACACTGAGACAAAACAACACTGAGAATTGATTGATTGAACGCTCTCGGAAAAGTCCATTGAACTCACAATTGATATCCTCCCGGTCCCTGGTAATATCGCCTGGGTGTGGTGAAATGTCATGCGTGCGTGCGTTGTTTGAATGATTTTCACGAATTTTGTTTTTGGTTTTGCATTGGATTGCCGATTGATGTTTTGCATTCAATTTTCAAGTGATTACACAGTACCATTTGTGTGTGTAATAGTGGTGTGATGGTGGCAGTCATGGCAGTAGTCGTATATTCATTTGTCGATGACGAACCAGCAAATGGTTGATATTCAGTTGGCGTTGAAGTTGCAATTGAGAGCAAGAAGAAAAAACACGATTCAAAAATTAGTCGACATCTACGGAAATCCTTTAAAAAAAAACATTAGAGTACACATAACACATTGCTTGTTTTACGCAGACAGCTTCAAAAATGTTAAAATAGATTTTCAGAAACGAAAAAGATTGGATGAAAGTAAAAAAAAAACAAATCAAAGAAATACAATAAGCCTGCAGCAAAATAATAACAGTTAGAAGCGCGATTAAATTTAGTTTCGATGATTTGGTTTTCTGTTTCTACACATCAAATAATCCTGTAGTAAACTACACAAAAACGGGGTCGTGAGAGTGTACTGAACTTAGGCCACTAATAGGGTATTCCAAAAAGGAATTACTCTACTGCTATTATACACCGAGATGGAGCATTCTCAGGATGGTGGTGGGGGGTACGGGGAAATGGCATTATGCAGGTTAGATGGTGAATAGTCGAACAAAAACAAAATATTCGTACTGCAAGTACCATTTTTAAAGCATCCATTACACGAGGAAATAAGTAGAGTGGTGAGAATTCGAAAGATGGAATAGGTTTTTTTTTTATGCAAAAACAAGAAGAGGTGTTTGCAGGGGTTTTGGGCAGGTGACTTTTATAGGCTTGCTTGCTGGAATAGAAAGGCGTGATCTTGAGGCTGGTGAGCTTTCGGTGGGTGTGTAATATTGTGTGAATGGACGGTTTATACTTTGCTAGGTGGGTGATTCAGCTGTCAATGATATATATATTATATGCTATAATGTTTGCTCCATGCTGGAGCTGTTTCACTGGGTGACAGGAATAAAAATTAATTTAAATTTCATTTATTTATTTTTACAAATGTAGAGTGGGCTTAGTTGTTTTCATTTACAGGGTGATTCAGAATAACTGTCATCGATTTCATAAATATGCAATTCTCTCTGGGTTGTAAAGTGTGTACAAATATCAGCTTGAGTTGATAGCAAGGCTTTGAAATTTCATTCGTTTTCGATTTCAAGCGGCCATGGACGTCAGAAGTCATAAATCTGTTTGAATTCGTGTGTTATCTTTTAGAAACTGAAATCTCTTCGAATAAAAGAAACATTTATTTTTCGCATCATTATACAGGTAAAAAGGAACCATGCGTGGAAAATTCGTTCAATATCAGAGCATAGACGCATCTCCAGGACTCCAAAAGAGCTGGAACTAAAACGGGCGTAACGGGTGGTAAAGGAAGAGAGATTTGAATTAAAATATGCTATTTTGAAGGTTATCTGGAATATACTGATATCAAAAAATCATTCTTCATTCCTTAATTTAACGTCGGTCTCTGTTCCGCAATCTAGTGCCAATCACCGACGGACATTCATTGACGGCAATTGAATGTACAGGAAGGCAGCTTCCACACCACGTAGGATATCGCACCCATTCAAACACACATGGGCCGGGACATCAAAAAATCATGCAAGCGTTCAATCGTTATGACCATTTTTAAAAGTGACAGTTATTCCGAATCACCCTGTAAATACGAGTATCTCGTCAATCTCTGGTTGACTTATGAATCTCTATCTCAATACACAGCGTTTAACAGTTTCGACAGTTTGATCGGCAACCCAGTAAACATTTAAACTGATTAAATGCTGGATAAGCCTCTTGTTAATTGAATTAGCAAATTTTATGCCCAATAAGCTTCTATTTAGCTGATAATGAATGTTGTTTTGCTTTTACTGATAAAAAATATGCTGTCTAAGGATTAGTTACAGAACGAACTAGGATTTAACAGCATTTCAACAAAATCAGAGAAAACACACAGCCAGCATAACAACAATATCCACTCGCCTTAAGCAATTATAACGGAGTTAAACATAAATTATACATCCCATTCCACAAGTTCACCTCAAAAAAAAAAGCAACACATTGCCCCGTAGTTCAGCGTTGGACCCTACAATAATCACGGGCATGATGTGTGAATCTTTGTATTTTATGGCAGTTTTGATTACCATATCCATCAGTTGAATAGGGAATTTAGGTCAAATCCGATTATCGGTAACTGACAGTACCGGTAACTGTACTCGGAAAAAATGCAACACTTTATTTTGTGTATAACTTTCTATTGCATGGGTAAACAATTATGAAATTTTGAGTAAAACAAGTTTAGAGTGTAATGTTTACATGTGCAAAATCTCGTCACAATCTGTCAAGCGGTAATCGAGATAACTTCTAAGCAAGAGTTGCTTCGACAAAAAATTATGGGAGCGGTCGTGGAAAATCCAGGCCAGTCCCACAGGTGGATCGCGAAACAGTTTGGAATCGATAATTCGACCGTGCTCCGTGTGGAAAAATCGATCAAGGAGACCCAGACGACCCAGCGGCGAGCTGGCAGCGGAAGAAAAGCGAAGACGACCGACCCCGTGAACGCAAGGAAGGTGAGGGATTACTTTAAGCGCAATCCGAACCTTTCGATTCGGGACGTGGCCAAGAAGGTCAATTCGTCCGTCTGGTTCGTCCAGCAGACAATGAAGCGGGCCGAAATTCATGTCTTCAAGGTAAGGAAGGCGCCCAACCGAACCGATTAACAGAATACAGTGGCCAAATCCCGCGCCAGGAAGCTGTATCGCGAGTGGTTGGTGCAGCCGAAATGCATCAAAATGGGCGACGAAACGTACATTAAGGCGGACTCCAAGCAGATCCCCGGCCTGGAGTTTTTCTCCGGCAAGTTCCGGCTGGATGTTCCGGAGAAGTTCCGGAATAAGCAGGTCGACAAATTTTTCAAGAAGTACTTAGTGTGGCAGGTGATCTGTGGGTGCGGCAAATTTAGCAAGCCGTACATAACGACCGGCACAATCACCGGCTAAATATATAAAGAAGAATGCCTCCAGAAGCGCCTGCTGTCCTTCCTCCGGTCCAACGAAGGTGACACTCTGTTTTGGCCGGAACTGACATCGTGCAATTACGGTGATGGAGTGGTATGAAGTCAACGATGTTGTTTTTGTGCCGAAGGAGGCCAATCCACCAAACTCGCCAGAACTTCGACCAATAGAAATATTCTGGACAATCATGAACACAGCAAAAAATAAATTTTAATATTACATCCAAGAGGATGCACTTCAATATTGTCGAAAATTTGTATGGCCACCACAATAAACAAATACAGTAAAAGCAGCGTAATGTCAGTTCATGCACTGTATTAATGATAATTTTGTCCTTTTTGACAAGTAATATTACACCATATTTTCGACACGATTGAAGTGCATCCACTTTGATGTGATATTAAAATTATTTTTTTGCTCTGAAGGGCAAGCTCCGGAAAACAGGGAATGCCTTCAAAAACGACATGGATTTGAAGAAAGAGTGGATGAAAGTTTGTAAGAAAGATGGCGCAAGTGTTGCACAGGATGTGATGGGTAGCGTGAGGTCCAAGATGTGGGCATTTAGCCTAGGAGAGGAGGTTGAATAAATCAACTTTGTAAAAACATAGCTAATATGTGTTCATTTATTCCCTGAGAGTTTCAAAAATATCCGACTTGAAATTATTTTTTGGTAATCAACTTTTTGGTGTAACTGTTGCATTTTTTTAGAGTACAGTCTTCACATGCGTTTTAGCGGTTTTTGGTTGAAAAAAAAAAAAAAAAAAACAAACCGCTGTCAAGTCCAACACTTTGACAGATGATTTCGTAGTTGAAAATAATAAACAAATCGATTCTGGATCAACAATAGAAAAGGGCCCATCAGCATTTGTAAACAAACCGTTCCAAAGCCCTTTACTCACAAAGCAAAGGCCACCCACGCAAACCAACACCATCATCGGATAGGGGAAACTTCTACCCACACGATGATGGTGTTGGTTTGTGTGGCCGGCCAGCGATTTGTGAGGAATGAGCTTTGGAACGGTTTGTTTACAAATGCTGAAGGGCCCTTTTCTATTGTTGATCCAGGATTTTATACCGCTACATTAGCAGGGTTGTATTAGTGAGATCTAGCCACGAGAAGTTAATGGAGGATTGTCTTCTCTGTCCGATGGCTTTATTTTTTTTTTTGCGTTAACGGCCATTCACATTTGCTAGACATCGGCGATGCAAGCGACAAAAGTCAGTCACCGAGGATCGAGTCCAACCTGTAAATGTCGAATAATTTCAAGTCCATCGTTGGCTCAGTACATGCTTAGATATATGACCACACTTAATCAACACGAAAGTTTTGCACTCAGCTAAATGCTGATTTTTTTTTTAATTGTTCTATTATGCGTAGTATTAAGGTCCAGAATGTTCCTAAAATCAACATCTGCCAAATCAGAATCAGAATTTTTGAAATTTGAGATGCTTGGTAAATTTGAATTTAAAATTTCGTTGGTTTCTTAGTATGGGGTAAACCAAATTATTGTTACGTTTCTTCAATAACATTTTACTAATGTTAAGTAGAGAAATCTGTATTCATGGACTTAATGAAAAATAAATTCTGGATAATGCCTTCTGAAGATTGTATATCAATTGAACTTACAGGGGGAAAAAAATCAGCGCCGATCTTATATTTGAACCACTTCATATGAGAGGGTTAAAAGGAAAGGGGTGTAAATGACTTTGATCGATACTCTTCATCGACTTTTTATTTTGATACCCACAGTTTTATAAACAGCTTTTGCACTATTTCTGCCACATAGTTTGATAAAGGAGGTTCTCATCTAGCATCCAGAATGGCACACTAATCAAGGATGAAGAGAATCGATCAAAGTCACATACACCCCTTTCTTTCTAAACCCCTCATACATGATTTTCTGGCAAAAGTCCGGTTGTC